GGTCTGTCCACACGCCTGCAATCAGCTGTCCCTTGGCTACCCCATGGGTCTAGAGTGGACACGGCAGTTGTGTGGCTCCCCAGCAGCAACACATCGCAGCAAAGAGGCTTAAGGTATTTAGGTCAGGAAATGAGAGTATTGGTCCCTGGATGAGTGGGTGCAGGTTCCAGGTGGGCAGTCCCCGTAGCCCCATGGGCAGGGCCCTCTAAAGCTTAGCCCCAGGGGCAGAGCCCCTGTTATTCAGGGCCCTGGCACAAAGATTGAGAGAGAAGCTGAGAGAACATTCTGAGACAGGATTTCTGAGCGCTGCAGCCCCAGGTGCAGGTTATAGGTCAGGGTCAACTGTACCTGCTGACTTAGCGGCAGGTGCCCAAACTGACCAGCAATATTTCAAGAGGAAAATCAGTACAATGGTATTGTGGGTTTGCTTTGCTTCATCTTCCCCCTTATTTGAAACAGCATGTTAGAATGAAATTTATTCCAGGTGCAACCATTTCCTTGAGTGTTAGGTATCTCCCATTTTGTAAGGTTCTACCTTACAGCAATGACTGCAGGGGATGAGGTCATTGTAGATAATTTTCTGCCGATCATTGCAGCAGATACACAGAAGAGGAAACCTGTTTCATGCTGCTCCCATGCTGCTCCATATTTTTTTCTCCCAAATGACCATTGTTTACTTGAATCAGGTGTTTATTTCCCTATGCTTCCTCTCCTTGATCCCCAACCTCAAAGCTGCTTGTTATCTAAAAGTTTCTTGTTCTCCCTTCTTTTGTCACACAAAGGCGGAAAGGTCCAACCAAGGAGAACTTAACTCAGACAGGTGGAAGCCTCGGCCTCCCACTACTGACATGAATGGTACTGGAACACTTAAGAGCAGTTGAGACAATGCATGTTGAAGCAAGAAAGTGATTCCGCTGAGAGTCCCTTAGGGAGACTCATGCCCCCGTGAGACCTTGCATTTTGTTGGCACTGGTTTGGCTGCGTATCTTATTTTCATTAGGAAGTCAACCCCTTGAATCAGCAACAAAGGTAGAAGAAAGTAGATACAACAAATGCTTTCATTTTAAGGGTTTTTTCCTCCTATTTAAAAGTTGGGGAGGAAGAAGGAGGGGTCATGAAATGTCAACTTGTCATGAGGCTTCTCTTGCAAGTTGTCAGTGAATCAGCTATCAGGGAAGTGGCCGCACAGACTGTTCTCATAGTGAGTGAGTTCTCATGAGATCTGATGGTTTTATAAGGGGCTTTCCCCCTTTTGCTGAGCACTGCTTCCTGCTGGCATGTGAAGGACGTGTTGCTTCCCCTTCTGCCGTGATTGTAAGTTTCCTGAGGCCTCCCCAACCCTGCAGAACTGTGAGTCAGTTAAACCTCTTTCCTTTATAAATTACCCAGTCTCAGGTATGTCTTTATGAAAACCTAATGGTTTTCACCCCTTCTTCTCTTTTGGGATTTGGTAGAAATAAGAGTGGGGTGAGGGGAGAGAGAAACCTGCATTGGCATAGGAGCTTGTGTCACACTGACATCTAGGGTGGGAGGAAAAAACCGAGACATAGGTGCATGCTGCTTTTCTTGGGCCTCTGTTCTCAAGGTTGGTTTTTGTCATCTGTATAGAAAGGGCTGTAGGCTGCTAGCCCAATAAAACTCAGCCAGCCCACGAAGGGAACTGGACTGCACTGTGGCCTTGTGTTCCTATGAGTCCACTTCAGTCCAGTTCCACAAAACGGAGTCATGGCTGTGGGCATGCTGGACATCATGGGGACAGGACAGAGTCTGGGATAGGATGCAAGTTCATCTCCTGCACCCTATCCTGAAGCCAGGGCAGCCCAGACATCTAAACACTAGAGACTGATTGGGAAAGAAAAACCCCATGTGTCATGTGTCACATCAAGACATCAAACAGGGAACAGGGCAGACTTAGAGAAACTTTCGTACAGGAACCTGAGATGGAGTGCAGACTCACTGCCAGCACCGTTTCTTCACACACAGCCTCACACCTGCTCCAGCAAGTGGGCTCTGGGCTCCACACATCACTGATGAGGAAGCGAGGCTCAGCAAGGCTGTGTGACTTGTCTAAGGACGCACAGCTGGAAGTGGCAGAGGGAAGGTTTAAGGTCAGGTCTGTCTGATGCCAAACCTGTGTTGAGACTACTCCCCATGCTGGCCCTGGAGAAGGGTGGTATATTAGCTCTTTCTCACACTGCTAATAAAGACATACCCAAGACTGGGTAATTTATAAAGGAAAGAGGTTTAATTGACTCACAGTTCTGCAGGGTTGGGGAGGCGTCAAGAAACTTACCATCATGCCAGAAGGGGAAGCAAACACATCCTTCTTCACATGGTGGCAGGAAGGAAAAGTGCCACACAAAAGGGGGAAATGCCCCTTATAAAACCATCAGATCTCATGAGAACTCACTCACTATCATGAGAACAGGATGGAGGGTAACCACCCCCATGGTCAATTACCTCCCACTGGGTCCCTTCCCATGACATGTGGAGATTATGGGAGCTACAATTCAAGATGAGATTCGAGTGGGGATACAACCAAACCATATCAGGTGGGATCTTGGACAACCTGAGGAGACAGGGAGGGAGCGCATGGCCCAAGATGGAACCCTGCATGAGTGAGAGTCAGGAGCCATCAGCGTGGTTTGCATGGGGAAGAAGGGCTAGGCCTGGCATGGTGAGGAGGAATGTAGGCCACAGGCATAGGGCTTCAGCAGGACCAGGTTCAGAGTGGTGGCAGCGGTGGGCATGGAGGCTGGGAACGAGTGAGAAGTTCTCCAGGAATCAAAGTGGCAGCACTACTGTGGGAAAGGGGTGCATCCAAGGGACAGCATCGTACAAGAGTCAGCAGGCATGGGGTCCTGAGGGAGAAATCAAAGAATCAGGCTCAGTGGCCTGGTGGCTGGAGGATGACAGTCCCACAGAAATGGGAAAATTGGAAAGGGCTGGCTTGGTATGGAAGTTGACTGGTTTGGATTGGATGTACAGAATTCAAGGTAACTTGAAGTGGGTGCTATGTTTATGACAACCAGAAGTATCGTAGTGGAGTCCAGGGCACAGGCAGTGAGAAGTATGAATGCAGGGTCACCGCAGAGAAGAGAGAGCTATCGGTGAGAATCCAGTACAGTAGCTCTCTAAGGAAGCAAGTGTTTCGATTTCCCTGACCTGCGCTAAGTAAGATTCTAGGTTACGGCATAAACCTTTACCACATAAAATAGCCACCTTAAAAAGGTGATCTAAAGAAAACCTAGCACCTGAATTTGTAGATTATTCTTTAGCCATCCTCAGACAGCAGCCAGAGATCAATATGTTATCACACCAAATCAGGTCACAGCAAAAGTCCAAAACTAGGAACGGAGTTGGGGCAGAGAGGTCTTACCTCCAGGGTCTTTCCCAGGCAGGTGTATTCTGAATGAGTGAGAGCAAAAGCATTCGTGTAAACTTAACACAGCTTTGGCCCTTATCTCACTGTACAAGTTTCTGCTGAGCCCCTTTTATAGGCAAAGTTAATTTTTAAAAAAGATTAAATTGATGATTCTATATAATTAACACTGGCTTCAGCCAATTGAAGACTGGGTGGGTATATGCATTGGAGAGCGTGTGGAAGGCAACACTGATCTCTCTATGGATCCCAAGTATGTCTTGACTGGATAAGAGCAAAATTTAAACTTGGAAGAGATAATCAGCACCAGATACAATTGATAGCAGTCAAGATTGCATGGAGTAATTTAGTCAGAGGTGAAAGCAGTCTAAGGAATTCTAGTTTAGAGTAACATTGAAAACTACAAACAACCTACCCAGACAATATTTTCTTGATGAAAATTCATTATTGCTGATACAGTTCTCTTTAAAATATCTGTATTTGTAGACATGACATCCAGGCCTGCTTGAGGTCAAATCATTGGAATCAGACTGTCCCTCAGCCTTGAGGCTGAGTTTAGCTCTGCCCACCTTTGTGGGATCTGTGGGGGTTGGGATGGGACCGGAGGGCAATCAGTGGCTTTATTGGCTGGATGGGTGGGCTTGGGATATTCAACTGGAGGACTGAGTTTTGCGCTACTCAAAGACAAGAGGCAGAACTGTTCCCAGCAGAGAGCAATGAAGGGTCATAGTGGGTAAAGAGTGAATGCAGCTTTGAGTATAGCAATTAAAGGCTAATCTAGATGGGTTAACTTAGTAAAAGCCTTAATGCCTGTCAAATAAGTGGTTTTAAATCTGAGGGTGGTAGAGAATTGTGGGAGCATTTTCAAGCATGAAACAATACAGTCAACACAGCCTACAGGAGGGCAGTCTGTGGCTTAAACCAAAATAAACATTGGTGACCACATAAGTGAGCCTTTGATGAGACCTGGCCATAAATATGAGAAGGGGAATGTAATTTGTGTAAATTTTCTAGATTAACATTTCTAGGGCTTTCATGGCCAATTTCATTGGATTATTAAAACTTTTTTTTTTCGTAAACCTTCTTGGGTTTCTCTTCCCTATTCTCTTCGAGAAGGTTGGTTGGAGAAAGATGACTTCATATATTTGGGGGCGTTTGTGGGGTTTGAGTCAACACTCGGGGCCATACACCAAGAGAAGAATTAAAGCCATGGAAATCATGATGGAAGATTGAGATTTTAAAAATTAGCACTGTCAGATTTACAAAGGCAGGTGGAGTCTTCTCAGTGAAGGTCCCAGGAAGTGGGGATAGAGTGTCATCTCTGGGGACAAGATGGCCCAAAAGGAAGCTGAACCCGGGACCTCCTGGCAGTTCAGGGAGGACCTTTGCTGATGGGAATGGCCTTGTACTCTACTGTAATGATTCTATCTGATGGAGTGGAGAAGTCCCTGTGTGGGGGCCCCTGCCCCATGCAGGGGACAGTTGGGGAGCTCTGCCATGTCACCAAGGAAGGACGGACAGCATGCTATTTATGTCTAACCACAGTGTCCTCCTTCATATCAGAAGGGCTCAGAGGTGGAAGTGAAGTCATTCACAATTTCCATTTCTTCCCTTCCAGTTACCTTAGAGCAGTTCTCCCTGGCAGTGAAGAGCTGTCCTGACCAAGAGGACCAGACTTTGTTAATGAAGGTAGGTTATCAGATAAAGAACTTATTTCCTGAAGGCTCAGAGCGTTTTTATTGCCCCGAGGAGAGTTTCATTTTTACAAGCGGGAGTAAATTTATCATCTCTGAATCGTGTGCTCCAGGGGGATAAGCTTGTCATAGGCGAATTGGAGGGTTGCTGGTTAATGAGCACCACTGCTGCCTGCAGAGTGCGGGAAAGTGACAGGAGAGTGGGTGTCCACATGAGTGGGGAATCTATTTAACTCTCCAGAGGGCTCAGTTGGTTCTATTTAAACTTATCCGACAGAGTCTTGATGCTTTTTTTTTTTTTTAAGCAGATTTATGAGGCTTGGCCAAATTCCATATCTCCTACTTTACTTTTAATTAAGACAAAGGATTCCATACGTTCCCAGTCTGCTGCTTCCTACTTTTGTCACCGTAAGGAATGCTGCACAAATTAGACTGTTCATATTCACCACCAGAATGAGCATCTCATGTCATGGATTCCTTGCCCTTGAGTGGAAGACAAACTTCTTTCCCCCAGCCCCCCATGCCAAGTAACAATTGGTTTATTTCCTTCCAAATGACAGGAGCAGAGGCGTTTCCAAATGGTATAACCTACACTTAGGCTGCATCCCTAGGTGAGCCAAAAGTGTGGAAAATCCTGGCAAGCTGCCCACCTGGCTTTAATTAAAACTTTGTCTTTGCAGCAGAGACCAGTACACAGCAGCAGATCGCAAAGGTGCACACACACACTTTCCCACCACTAAGACTCATGCTTTCACACAGAAACCCTGCAGACTGACCTTGAGACACAAATATTTCCATGATGTCACTTCAGTGCTGTACCATCAGGAAACCGCGTGCACCAGGAATTGCATTTCTTTACCTAAAAACCAGTTTCTTTACCAGGTGTCCTCTGACTTTAGAAATGGGTGGAAAAAAATAGGGTGTCACTCTGAGGGATTTTCAACTCATTTGCCTAAGATGTGATATTTTTGGTCTTCAAAAAAAAAAAAAAAAGCTTTCAGTGATGTTAGTTTTATAATGAAGTGTTGCCCATACCAAGTGTTGGGTTTGTCTGGGAACCCTGATTTGTCAGAGTTCTGGGCGTCTGATACACTGATTTAGAATGATACAGATTCAGGCACATCGGCCTTTCTTGTTTTCCACGCTTAATTCTGTTTCCTGCTTTAAGTTCTGTTCTGCAAGGACCTTTCCTTTCAGATGCAGGCTGGCTTTCCGTGACCTTGAAGCAGCTTTTGGGCCCTGGATGCTCACCTCTTTTCTCTGCTCACCAGCCTCTGGTCTTTCTTCCCTCCATCCAGTGTTTTCTCCTACCATCTCCTTCTTCTTGCTTCTCTCTTGTTCATCCCCTACTGTCCATCCCTTCCCATTTTCAGGGGGTGAAATCCTGGGCTCCCCTGGATGTTACGTGGGCATCTCAGAGGCATTTTGGGGTAGAGAGGGCAGCGACGGAGCCCAGCCCCAGAGACCACACCTCCAGGCCTGCTTCTAGTGGTCCTCATGGCCTCCCCGACTTGAGAGGCCACAGCCCCCTCTGAGTTTCTTCACATCTAGAGCGAGAGGTGAAAAGAGATGCTACCCAAAGGCCCCTCCTCCTCTCACCATTTCACCTTCTTGCTGACTTTCATGGTATTCTGGCTGGCTTCTGTAGCACATTCAGTTAGAAACTAACAGCTTGGGGGTGGGAGAGGAAGGCTAAGATGGCCTGAGGTTTCCTGGAATTTGCGTGACCTCCAGTGGCATTCAGTCCTTTGTGTCTTACCTGTTGGTTTCTGCCGACTGTGTGGCCTCAGCAACAGAGGATGATTTCTGTGGGTGTATTCTCAATATTTGCAAATATTTGAACAGGCATCATCAAAGAAAGAAGTTTCACTGAACAAAAAACGTGTGCTGAGTTCATATATACTGAAACTATTTTATGATTTTTTTTCAGGAGATTGAGGTTTTCTAATGTCACATATCAGAAGGCACCATGTGGGTGTGACAACGGTATGCCGGGTTTTTGTAGATGTTATGTGAGAAAACCTATTCAGGGTGACAGTAGATTATTTTGACTACAGTCAGCCTGCAGGTGATTGTATGTTTGCTCTAGTGAGCTATCCACTTTGCAGGCTGTCTGAAATAAATTCACTTTTTTTTTTATTTGAGATGGAGTCTTGCTCTGTTTCCCAGGCTGCAGTGCAGTGGCACGATCTCGGCTCACTGCAAGCTCTGCCGTCCAGGTTCATGCCATTCTCCTGCCTCAGCCTCCTGAGTAGCTGGGACTACAGGGGCCCGCCACCACGCCCAGCTAATTTTTTGTATTTTTAGTAGAGGCGGGGTTTCACCGTGTTAGCCAGGATGGTCTCAATCTCCTGACCTCGTGATCTGCCTGCCTTGGCCTCCCAAAGTGCTGGGATTACGAGCGTGAGCCACAGCGCCCGGCCAATAAATTGACATATTTAACTTAACCTCATGAAAACTTGTGGGAGGCAAAAAACATAGATCTGGGCCAAATATGATTTTGTTTTGTTTTGTTTTGAGGCAGAGTCTCACTCTGTCGCCCAAGCTGGCGTGCAGTGGCGCGATCTCAACTCACTGCAACTTCCACCTCCTGGGTTCAAGGAATTCTCCTGTCTCAGCCTCCCCACTGATTGGGATTACAGGTGTCTGCCACCACACCTGGCTAATTTTTTGTATTTTTAATCGAGATGGGGTTTCACCATATTGGTCAGGCTGGTCTTGAACTCCTGACCTCAAGTGTTCCACCCGCCACGGCCTCCCAAAGTGCTGGGATTACAGGCATGAGCCACTGCACCCAGCTGATATTTTAAAAAATTATATTTTGCATGCATTCCTACATTGTCATACGTTCCAATGTTGCATTCTACATTGTCAAAGGTAATTAAGACCTGAGGACAAATATTTAAAGGGGTACCATTAAAAATGCAGCTTGTATGGCAGGCATGGTCCATGATTGCCCCAGGCAGCCTAATTTTGACTGAAGTCCAAAGCCCCTCCCTCAATCACATAGCTCCACCTTCTCTAACCTGTGAAGATGCTCTATAGAGAGACTGCCAAGAAGATGCAAGAGATGAACTCACAGCTAAGTAGATGACTGAACCAAGGTCAGATCCCCCTGCAGAGACAAAAGCATTGAGATTTTGAAGATGGCACAAGCCAGAACCTTCATCTGACAACCAGGAAGAGCAGGAGGGACAGGAAAAGAAGTGACTAGCCACCACTGCATAGCTAGTCAGCCAGCAATAGAACTAGGACCAGAAAGCCAGGGTCCCCAGACTCTCATGCTGGGCTTCTTCCTGCGGGGCCCACTCAGACGAGCAAATTCATAGAAAAATCCACCACTCCACCCCTTCACCAACAGGAGAGCACACACAGGAGGTGTGACTGCAGTGGAAGCACGAGGGGTACTGTGGTAGCAGGCTTCTGGAGTCACTCTCAAGGCTTGTTAGTCACACCGTTGTTGCTGAGGATCCTGTAAGACAGGAGAAAGCCACTTTCTCTGTGACTCAGTTTCCCAGCTACCAAGCAGAGGTAGAAGCTGTTACTGGCTTAAGGTTTGTGCCCCACTGCAGACCCAAGAAGGGGCTAGGGAAACGGTACCCAAGGGTAAGGTAGCTGTTATCAGGAGTTGCCTCTCAGATTTCACTACAATTTGAACCACAGAACAATATTTAGATTCCATAAATTACTCATTTGATCATGTTCGCGTTTGATCTCCATGCCTACCTGTTTCTTCACTGATTCTTAGTCCTGTTTGCCAGTTAATCTCTTTGGTCCCTCTCGGTCACTACCTTGGAGAGCCCATTTGCCCTTGGCTCCGCCTGCAGTCCCCTGTGACTCCAGGTGTCACCTGAGCTCACGTTCAAGCAAGCTCAGCAAGTCTAAACCCCACCAGTATTTGTCCTCCCATCCCACCATCTAGGAACTGTGGGGTAGTCTAGGATGCTTCCCTGCCCTGGAGCTGCTACAGAAGCTTCCATGTGTCTGTTCATCCTCTGCAGCCTCTTTCAGGTCCTCCATCTCCCCCTGTCTCAGCAAAGAGTACTTGGACCTGACCCCTTAAGGACAAGTTTCTATCCCCACTCTGCCAGCAACTGGAGTGTAACCTTGGGCAGGTCACTTTTATCTCTTTTAGCCTAATGTCCTCTTCCAGTAAGAGAGGAGGTAAATTAGACCACCCCAAAGACCCTTCTAGCATCACACTCTGCAAGGTCATGAGTGAAAATTATCGACAAGGCTGCAGTTCTAAATATGCTTGAGAATGAACCAACCTGGCCTTCTACCACTCATCTCTTTCCTCTAGGCACTGCCAAGTGAACTTTCTTGGGGCCCCACGTCCCACATGTCACTCTGGATGCATTTCTAGCCTACCTCCTTCTCATCTTTGGAATAGGGTAATCACAAAACTTATCATCCAAACATGGATTTTGTGTGTGTGTGAGTAAAAGGGGCACCATTAAAAATAGAACTTGGATGGCGGGCATAGTCCAGGACTGTCCCAGGCAAACCAAGGCATTGGGTCAGCCTAGTTTTGAATCAAGGCCAAAGCCTCTCCCTCAATGACATGGTTTGACTTTGCCTAGCAGGCCTCTTTCTCAGTGCTTGGTCCAGACCCTCTCTGTCCCCTACAGGATTGTCCCCTCTTAAAAATCAGAGCCTCTGTTTAGTGTAGAAGTTGGCAGGAAGACAGATCTCTTGGTGACAGTCTGTGCTCACACCATCATGTACTGAATGTAAATGATCACACCTCCTCATTTTGTTCTTGCACACCTGGGAGTTTCTTACACATCTGGCAGCAGCTGCCTCCAATTTGGGTGGGAGATAACAGCCCCAGCCAGGGGCCTAGATGGGACTAAAACGTCCTGAAGCCATCGCCTGCAGAGCCTCCCTGCCTCCCTCGGAAAAGCTGGAAAATATTTACATAGAATGGTTGGAGGAAAGTGGCCCTTGCTGGTAAATGGTTCTGACCAGGTCAGGAGACAAGAGCTAGTATTG